TTTTTTTTTTTTTTTTTTGCAACAAGAGCACACTGTTGCCTCATATACAGTTTATGGTTCACTGTATTAGTCCTGTGTGGACTTGTCTGTAACACTTGATGTACTCTTAATTCATTTCCTAATGTTGTGATACATTATTCCTCAAGGACAGATGGTTTATTTTGCTGAAGTCACGTAAGATCCTTGCTAAGAAGGATAATGGAATGGAAATAATAAATTTGTTACTTCTATGATGTACCTATTGAAGGGGGAAAAAACCCAACAGCAAATCCAAAACAAGATAAGACAACATGAAACTTTAAAAATACTTGTAAAAATAAGCCAGTGTTTTAGCCCTCTGGTCTTCATAGTGCCTTAGTCTATATACAGATTTTTTGTAGAACTACTTCCAAAAAGATAAGAACAAGGATTTCACATGATCTTAGCCTACCTAAGCATATGATGAACTCAGAATACTGCCCTATAATAGCATAAATATAATCATAGATGGAATGTTGGGATTTACCAAATATATTAGATTTAATCAATTTTTCTGTTTGTGTAGGAAAAATATTTATTTAACATCAGCACTTCTCGTAGTGTCCCTTTCCCCCATCAACAGCTCTACTGTAAATGGAAAAGCTCAGCAATGCAAAGGATCACATTGTTAAACTTCAAACTCCTTATAAACCACAGGGAGTGGGGTGGAGAGGTGGTGTAGTGAAAATAGATACTTTTCTCTATGTTTCTTTGTTCCTTGTTTTAGTATCAACCCCTGCATTCTGTAATTTTCCACCCACATGGTACAGGATAGCCCACTACGCATGTCTTATAGGTTGCTCAGGTTTTGTTTTGAAATGACCAATCAAAATGTAACACGTCAACTGAAGAAAATGCTAGCTCAATAAAAGCCGTGCGCGCTCTTTGTTTAGGGTCGACACTGATCTGAGCAACAAGCTCCTCTGTCGGCCTGCTTGCAAGCAATAAAATAGAGTTGGACCAAGCCTGAAAGTGTGACTCTCTTCTAGAGGTGAATTGGACTAGCCTCCAGGGGACAAAATTAGCAATTTATGCAACAGTGGCTGTAGGCAGTGAAAAGGGTGTTCGCTATTCTGGAATGCCATGTACAATTATAACCTTTATAATGAATGCCTCTGCCTGGTTAGAATCTATGGACTTCTACTTAGAAATGCAATACTGCTATAGTGCTGCATCCTGAATACTTGTATATGTACTATAGCTCCATAAAATGAGAGTTATTAACAGATGTTCTGATATACAACCACCTGTTACTGAAAAAGCTTCTTAATTGAGAGTAGTATAATGAAGTCCCTAAACCAGAGTCCAATACAAAGTAATACAGTAGCCCCTTTTTAAATCTAGTGAATTATTAAATAGGTTTTTATTACTTTTTATTTTTCATTGAATGTAAGACCAATGTGTGACCTGAATAAATATTTAAGCATATTACCATTTGTGAAAAATTCCCATTGCTATAAAATGCATTTAAGAATTTGCTGGGCAATTCAGAACAGTAAGAGCAGTGCACTGGAATTGTATGCAGATTATATGAGTGGAGAATATATTTGTAGTTTGCTTAGCCTGCTCTGCAATTTAAGAGCTAAACAAATTCTTGATGAATAATGGCATCTCCATACACTTTTAAATTGATGCTGACTTGTTAAATGTCAAACGGGTCCCATAAACTAATAATTAAAGCTGTAAAATAACCTGATGCAATGAAATGGACAGGGATGAGGTTAATGTGGCAGGTTTCAAGTTTATTAAACTAATGCCAGCAGATGATGGGAAGAGGACTCTTTTAAATATAAGCTGTTGTGTGGATGATGTAAGACTATTCAGTTTAACAAAGAAAAGATACGTAGCCTGACCTTCTTTAACTTCCAACCAGAGATTCTGTCTGTACTAGATCAACTTGTTCAGAGAATGACAGCGACTTTATGTATATAAACTTCTAACTGCCTTCATCTTTCAACCAATTGAGAATGCTTGTATGTTCTTGGGTCCCGTGCTTACATTAATCATGTGCACTGTCTACTTACTTCCTCTATCTTATGTGCAACATACCATCCACAAATTGACACAGAGATGTTTGTGCCTGTGTCTCTGGCATAAAATCTTTTACCTTTTGTAACTAACTGGTCCAACTTTCAGCTTGTTGTGCGGAAGATGGAAGACCCAACCCAATATGCACCCAATAAATATGGTTTATTCTTGTTTTGTGGGTGGGTGAGTGGTATTCCCTTCATAAGCAATAAGAAAGAAAGAATCTGGCTTGGTTCATGGTATATCTAGAGGTCCAATAAGACAAATATGTGCTCATAAGTGTGGGATGAATTAGTGCAACCCTGGGTAGTGGGTGTATAAGTGCCCTGATGGTTGGTGTAATAGGGAGCTAGAGGCTTCTGTTAGTTTAAGTGGAAAGTGAGGCAAGTTAAGCTTGCTTTGGGGACTTAGCTCCATTGCAATGGGTAGCCCCCAGGCAGCAGAGGAACAAATACTGCAAACAGTTGTGCTAACACTCCACTGCAGGAGAGAAGGGTAGGCTGGCCATCAAGCTAAAGCAGAAATCTTTGTGTGTAGCTGGAGAGGTGGGGTTTTGGGGCCCATAAGACCAGTGCCTAATAGTAAGTAGGCAATCTGACCCTGCATGCTGCAAGGAGAGGAGCTCCTGAGAATGAAGGGCTGCAGGAGACAGACAGGCACCCATATCACCCAAGAAGGGTGTGATGAGAAAGCTCCAAGGGAGGTATGGCTTATAGAGGACTTTGACTCAGAGTGGGAAAACTTTTAGTTTGTGAAGCAGTTTGCTTGTGTTTATGTTGTGATTAATAACCCAGATACTGGAGGACTGGATTGTGACTATGGGGGAACTATGGAGGCCATGGAGGGTTGCTTGGTGGGGCACTTTGTCACAGTAGCCTGTCTGGTGTCTGGGACCTTGAGGGCTCAGGGCTGTGTGCTGTCAGCACTCTCAAATGGAATCAAGAGCTCAGAAGCCTGAGGGCTGTTTCAGAGCACAAGAATGAAAGATGGGGCTGGGGCCCAGGATTCAAGGTCTGGGGTAGCAGACTTGAGCCAGGGATCACAGCCATAATAAAACGGCCGCAGCTGGGAAGGCTGAGGCCCAGACAAAGCATTAAGAAGTCAGGGGACTCTCTCTGAATGAATATGCAGTAACATCTGTGAGGCAGGGGCATGGATATAGGGGAGAATGGAGACAACACTATATAGCCCAAGAGGCAACTATTGCATCAAGGTGCTGATAGGGCCAAGAAGGACACAATTTGGTGCCCCAAGGGCAGGATTCAGGCTAGCTGTGCATCGGAAGGACCAAGTGACTGAGGGATTGAGGCTCATTTTGCAACCCTGGGGGCAGCCTCCCCATACATTATAAGATACATCAAGGTGTGGCAGGTGAGGCAAAAACAGAGGGTACCCCAAAGAAGCTGTTGGGGTAGGAGTTGTGTGGCCACCAGGGGACATCATGGCTGTCCCTGGGGCCAGGTTCTGCTATAGAGGTCAAAGGCATTCACTAAATATTTTCTGATTGTTGCTTGGCCAGTTCATTTTCTCCTCTACATAGATATTGAATGACATTTTTGAAAGCATCCAAAATAGCCAATAGTTTTTAAAATAGCAAAAAGTCTTTTTCCAAATAATTTTTGCTTGGTGTAACATTAATAATTTAATCATTAATTAAATCATTTAACACAACCTGTTTAACCAGAGTTATTTATGGTATATAGAACCACGTACAAATATATAGCTGTTACCAGATTATAGATATTCCAGGTAATTTGGCCAAAAAGTCATAAGCTTTCCCAAGACCTTCAATGCAAGTTTCAGTCGAAGTCAGTTCAAAGTTATATTTGTTTCATTTATAGTGGTTTATTCATTTCTAGTATTTCAAAAGTGTTTCCTGCTACATTTGCAAATAAAGATACAAAGAAAATATGTTTTATCTTTTTTTATAATAAATAGCATGAGATTTTGAAGTAAGAGAATTTTCTGTTAACAATATCATTTTAAGAATTTGCAGCTGCTGCAAAAACATAACTCTTGAAAAAAAGTAATTGGAAAATCAAATTGTAGGAAATGTGAAGACTTGCTTGATTTATATGATTTTAACTTTAGTTACTGGTCTTACTTTTTCCTCCTCATAAAAAATTATACTTACTGGCTCAGGGGAATCCATTAGAGATAGAGCCAGGGAACTATCTGCTCCATCTTTTATCCACCAACTAGAAATACTCTCTGGGGAAAAAATTATATTCACTCTCTGTACAATCAAATACAATATTTAAAAACACAATGGATAGTGTACCAAATCCTCCTTTCCATTAATAACACTTGTCCAATTAAAGTCTTCTATGGAATAGAAGTTCTAGCATGAAGAGGTACAGGGTCATCAAATATACCCTTACTATATGGCTGGAGCTGTTTCTACATAAGCAGAGTGTGAATTAAGAATTAAGGAACTGCTGAAAGGAGTGTGCAGATGGCAATGTTCTCCAGCTAGTAGGTATTTGCCATATGGTAGAACTGAGAACAAGCTCAGAGTATTTCAGGTGCTTGGTGGGAATAACTCACTAATAAAATAATATGGTGCAGTTGCTCTAATTGAATTAAGTAGCTCATGCATGTATGCTGATGTATGCTTGGTATGTAATTTAGCAGTGTGCACTCAGGGTGTGCACATAGTGGTATCCTAGCAAAATACAAAATGTAACTTAAGCACTTAGCAACCAAATAAAATTATTTTGCCACAGATTTTGTAGCTCATAGTTCTTTGCAAGGAACATTTTTTTTTTTGCCCTTTAAATCTTTGAAAATTTTATAGATTTATTCCAGCACTAGTAGTGCCATAAAGCTGTATTTTATATCTCTTATGAGATTGTTTCAGGAGTCATACCATGCAAATGAAATTAGAGCATTAAAGGCTTTACCCCCTCCCCTCCATTTTTATCTATTTCTTTATACAAGCAAAAAGTCCCCGTGTCCCACAGTGGGATCCAGAACTCCTGTGTTTGGCGCACAGGTTCCCTGAGTGGGAAGCAGTTCAGACCTGGGCTGGAAGAAACTCTAAGGATAGGAGAGTGTCTTAAATCTTACCTTTTGGGAAGGCTTAAGTTTCTGAATTAGGGTGGGTGTGTCTGTTGAATTTGGGATCCAATGTTCAGAAGCCTTTTGTTAAGGCAGGTTTCTGTGTCCTTTCTTTCAAAGAACTGAGATGGGATGCATTTACACATGCCCTTAAGGGCAGCAATAGACCGTGGCGCTTATTGCTCCACAGTGTATTGCTTCAAGAAAGCTCCTGGGAACATATCTGTGCATGTACCTGGACTGCAGCACATTGAGCTGGGTTGCAGTAGCCCAGCTGGCAGGGAGCCCTACTGGGGAGAGGGGGTCAGTTTGCCAGCCCAGGGATACTCTGAGTAGGTTTAATGTGCTGCAGAAGGGCTGGCTGGGGCACAACGGTGCCTCAGTAAAGAGTTAGCCAATGGGGAGCCCTGGCACTGAAGCACCCTCATGCCCCAGTCAGCATCTACATGTGTGCTGCTGTGCATGAAAAAATGCTGCAGCAGTATTTTCAAGTCCTATTCTGTGGTGGGGCTTATTAGTTTGTGCACCCTAGTAGGGGTGCATGTGTAGATGCTGAGATGCTTTACTCCTCACTTAATTAGTCAACTGCAGAGTACATGTCTTGAGTAGATGTTCTCAGAGACTTTTAGGCAGCAGCTGAGTAGAGACTGCAGTTTGGGACTTAAGTGTCAAAATCTGCTTAAGTTCCACTTGGATTGCCAGTTTCCTCCCCTTCCTTCCCTCCTTTTGAGAAATGAATACTCTCAAATATGGGAGAGTGAAATTCAATGATTGCTTTCTTGAGTTTTGCTGGAATGTATATTATAAATGTAAAGATAGACAAAGTGCTAACTCTTATGTATACCTGGTCATGACAATTTGTTATTTAAAGAAATACTTGAAGAAATAATACTTGACTGATGCATGTTAATTCTTCTGTCTTGCATGTATGTTGCAATAGCCTTCAGTTACTGGCTAATTAACTATATTAGAGATGCCTGAAACTATAAGGATGTGAAACTGCTGGTACAGCACATGTTAGAAATGTAATCTGATCATCCAGTGAGACCTTGTTTTTTAATTTTTTTAAAATTTAACTTGTCTTTTATTTTAAAAGAAGTTAATTATCAGTGATGTTAGTCAACTGAGGTTGTAGGACATGATTTCCTTTTAATGAATATATATGCCTTCACTGTGCTAGTTAGCATTTTAAAAATAAAATATACATTTTGGGTGCTCAACCACCTAACAGTTGACAATATATTGAAATATATTTAGGACTGAGCAAGGTGAATTAAATTTGAAAAACAGCTGAGTTGAATAAAATAAGAAGTAAGCTTCAATTAGTAGAAAGGGAAACTTCTAGTCTCTTTTGAATTGTCATATTATTTCTTTCACCTTTACTACCAGATAACAAATCACAGAGCCAATCAAACACTAGATTAGATTAATGACACCATCAAGCCTAATTCGCATGGATTGATTTTTTGTTGTTGTTGTGTGTGTATGTGAGCATAACAAAGTGATTTCTATAAATGACCTTTTCTGAGATGCTACAGAGTTTGTTTCTGTTTAAGAATTTATGGAGAAAATATCAAACCCCCCTGATTCTCTGGTGAATTTCAAGATATGCATCTGCTTGAGAATAATAGAACACTTCAAAATTATTTCATTCTGTGGACTTTTAATAGAGGAATTTTTAATTTCACTACATCATGACAAATTACTTCAATACATGATAAAGCTACCTGCTGAAAGATCCTTCAACAAACTGACATTTCAAATTTTCTTATGCATTCTTTCTATGTGGCTGTTAACTTTCTGAATATCAACTCTCTTTCCCATTCCCACAGGAAAATAGCTTGCAACCAGACTCAATCCAAATATGTCAAACAATAAACAAGTGAAAGCCATAACAGACTTTAGTGGTAGTGCAGGATTTTATGGTGTGTGTTCCAGACTGAGTAGGAAATGTAATAGAATCATAGGAAAGTAGGGTTGAAGATGACTTCATAAGCATCATTTTGCCAGCCCTGTGCTCAAGACAGAGATCATTGTCCCTGACTGCATCATCCCAGTCACCTGTCTCTACAACCTGCTCTTGTCTATTTCCAGGGATGGAGATTTCACGATTTCTAAGTAATCTATTCCAATGCTTGACTGCTCTCATAGGCAGAAAGTTCCTTCTAATCTCCAAACTAAATTTCCTGTGCTGCAGCTCGAAGCCATCACTTCTAGTCCTGGCCACTATGGCCACAGAGAAAAACCCTCCATCCCTTCTATATTCACCCTCCAGGTATTTGAAGGTATTATATTCACCCTATGTATTTTACATCAGGGCATTTAGTACATTGGATGAGATAATTTACATTTTCACTGACTAGCTTTCTTGCAGAACACTCCCCTAAGTCCACTGGGGACATCAACTTTCATGTAATCATGTGTAATTTGTCTTGTACAGAGGGCTTCGATTGCCAACAGCAAAGAAACTGAGAACCTATGGAGAAAATAAGTCCCAGTTCTGGGGGTTATATGCTCACATAGACTTTTCTTCCCTGTTTTCCTTATGCTGTTACAGCCCAGCCTGCTAAGGTCCCAAACCAGCAATCACTTAAGCAAGCAAATATCTACTACTGTTAACATTTCTGCTGATGCCAGTGGAAGCATCCACCTAAGAAAAATTAAGGATGTACTTAAGTGTTTGCAGGATCAGGGGTTATATAATGGGAAGTTTTATGTGATTCATATTTGAGATGTCCCCTATTCTCAGCTGCTGGTTTTGTCAGAATCATAAGAAACAATTCTATTTTCAAGTGTCTGAATGATGGGGGAACCATGTCATTTTGCCTTATACTTTTCAATATTTGTGTGAACTGTAAAAACACTTCACGTGCAGTGTGCTTCATTTACTGTCTTAACTCTGGATGCACATTGAGTAAAGGAAGAGGTTTCTTTCTTGTTCTCTTCAGATACCTTCTGACCACGTAAAACGTTCTACTGTATCAAATAATTTGATAAAGCTTCCTTATCAGAAAGCCCACACAGAAAATCAATATACAGGCATACCTCGGAGATATTGCGGGTTCGGTTTCAGACCACCGCAATAAAGCGAATATCGCAGTAAAGTGAGTCACACGAATTTTTTGGTTTCCCAGTGCATATAAAAGTTATGTTTACACTATACTTATGTTGCATACTATTATGTGTGCAATAGCATTATGTCTAAAAAAACATGTACATACCTTAATTAAAAAATACTTTATTGCTAAAAAATGCTAACCATCATGTGAGCCTTCAGCAAGTCGTAATCTTTTTGCTGGTGGAGGGTCTTGCCTCGATGTTGATGGCTGCTGACTGATCAGGGTGGTGGTTGCTGAAGGTTGGGGTGGCTGTGGCAATTTCTTAAAATAAGACAACAATGAAGGTTGCCACAAACCTTCAATTTGTAAAAAATGCAATATCTGCGAAGCACAATAAAGCGAAGCGCAATAAAACGAGGTATGCCTGTACATAATCTAACTGAAACAAATGCTGACAATATGTAATTAGCTCATTAAGTAGTAATGGTTCTTCATTAACAGTAACCCCCCTACTTGCATAAAGATAGTTAGAAATATAAGCTGATAAATTGGGAGAAGCAAGAAGAAAAAACAGGTTATTTTTATAAAATTAATAGTGCTTCCTACAGGAAACTTAAAAAAAATGTTACATTTATGGCAGTGCGAGCTTCAATATTTGAGGTGACCTACAGTTTATGTAGACTTGACTGCTAATACAAAAAAGTAAACATCCTTTCTGTACACACTGAAAATAGGTTTTACATAATCTAATTAATATGGAGGCTAGCTACTAAACAAATAAACCTTATCCTTTCAAAGAAAGAAGTTTAATAAAGAAAGATAAATACACAATAGCTTGTCCAGCTTTCTCTTGATTTTAAGGATTCATGTTTATTTTCTCCTTTTGTTTTGTATCAGAAACCTACAAGCAGAAATTACCAGGATGAGAGGAGGCTTGGAATAAGCTTGATGTTGTACAGGGTAATATACCTGGGCAGGTTTACTGAACAGGAGACACTGATTAGTTTTGGACTGTTATATTGATTCATGCTGGTCAAATGGTTATTCCTTGGTTTGGGCAACTATTTTAGATTACACTTTCTGTCTTGAGAATATGAATATTTCAGAAAAATCATAAATCCTAACCTATGTTAGCTGAAAAGTTGGGTCATTTAAAAGCTATGTAAAAATTAAGATGAGTCACAGCTGGAAAAATGAATAGGCTGCTGTTCAGTCAGATGAACATGTGTCCCATTTTTGCTGGGTCAGCTCAAATCCCAAGTGCCCTATCACTTTGGGCAAATGAATGGGGGGGTTTTTTTCTGGTTTTCAGTGGAATGTCCAGGGCAGATATTTAAAATGAGACTGTCCCAGTGAAAATGGGATTGACCAAGTTAGAAAAGGACTGTGGGTTAGAATGGCTCCATCCTTACCTTGTGGAGTGGGGAGGGAGGGCATGTCTACGTGTGTGCCTGACTGTGCAGTTGTTGCTGCACAGTCATTTAGTACATTTTGCTTTGGCAGTCCCAGCAACACACAGTAGCTCATTGCTACTGTGCAATAGCATTGCTTTGGCAGTCCCAGTAGCTCATTGCTACTGTGCAATAGCATTGGTGTCATGGTTCATGCCTGCCAACGCTACACTATTGTAGCTCATCACTAAGGTGATGTAGCATCCTGTGAACGTATGCCCAGCATGTCTCATTTTGAGATGGGGATATATTGTCACCCTATGGAAAATTGATTCTTAAGCTCCCTGGATGCTAATTTGCTCAGGAAAATGTTTCTGCGAATATTTATAATACTAACAGGACCAAAATGATATGACCAGAACCATGGTTGCACAAATTTGCATATATAGGTTGAATTCCAAATTCAAATTTCTCTCTCCTTCTTATTTGCAGCTTTGTGCACATCGCTTCCCAGCATCTTATGAATTGAGCCTCAACCTACGGAAGCTCATGTTTTATTTATTTATATAATGTGAGTGCATATGCCTTAAGCCATTAGTATTTATCAGACTACTTTCTAGTGTTCACTGATCAGGTACCTCATTCTATTATAAGCCTTGGGAGAGTAAAATCTGAAGATGCAGTTTTTCTGATTTGGTTTCAAGCTATTGTATGTGCATAAAAAAATCCTACCAGTTTCAAAGTTCTATTATTAAAATGATGTTTAATTTATGGACCATTTTGTTTATTTTATATTGATACACTGAAATCACCCAGACAGAAGGATTTCTGCTGTATGAAAACAACCATCCATTATAAGGCCCTACCTTGTCTTGCTCTTTCAAAGCTTTGCTTTTTTTGTGCAAGAAAAGCCAGTTGCTTCCAATGG